TGGAGTCTACTAAGAAGCAATGAAACAATCGAAAATTTTAAAACTATTCATAAATCCGACTTATACATACCAAGCAAAACAGATGAAAGTAATAATATTACCTAGAATTTAAATAAATGGGTTGTTTATTACTTATAATCAGATTGTTTGAAAGGTAGATGTCGCAGCAGGGTTATGACTAATTAAGTTGTCATAAATGATAGAAGTGGTAATCAGGTTACTAGGGCATATGATTTTATTACGTAATAAAACGAAAAAATTATTAAGGATTTATGTAAAGACGAATTGTGGATTAAACTCACTGATTTGTAAATGATGAATAGAAAAAATTATACACACTATTACTTTCTGCTACCAATACAGTTAAAGGTTAAACAGTGATTCTTTTTGAATACAGAGTCCAGGTTTTATCTCTTGATTGTAACAACCTTAACAAGTTTTTATTTTTTTATTTTAAGTGTATACTGCATACTCTTTTAATGTCTGGTGTTCCGTAGATTGCGCACTATGGAATTATGAGGCTTACCTTATACTCTGATAATTAAGTTTTTGGTATAAGGTTAATAAAGCGCACTGATACATGTCTTTCTGTCCTTGCAGTATATCTGGTTTTGCATGTAAATACAAATTAGCATATATGATTGCAGGTGATATGTGTAGGAAATTTATCTGTTACATTCGCTTTATTGAGCATCGCATTATATGTGTTGGATTGAGTTTCTCGCTGGTAAATCTACTAGTTAAAGCTTCCTTCAGACTGGCTAATTTAATTATTATTATTATTATTATTATTATTATTATTATTATTATTATTATTATTATTATTATTATTATTATTATTATTATTATTATTATTATTATAAGCTTTATTCAATATTATATTTTCGGTACAATATAGAATTCTCAGCACAAAGTATTTCAACAAGTTTCCGTTTCTTTCTTCTGGGTCGATCCTGACGATAAATATTGAGTGATAGCCAATTAGATGTTAGCAGTCCAGTAAATAAACATCTGAATAATGTATATTCTTTTCTCTGCATATTGCCAGCGACCACATTATCTCTTATTGAGCTTTTAGTAACTTTGACAACGAAAGGTTGTAAACTTTTCAGAAATGCACAAGGATGGGTTATGCGATTAATATACATAATGATATATTAAAACAAACAAAAATAGATAACTTGTTGAAATATTTAGATGACAGGAACAGGTAGCCCAGATGCTCAAGCAGGCCGCCGTCAGTCAGATGACATGTTTCTTTCCAGGCTTATTACCATTCGTCCCAGTGTTGCATTTATTATTACATTTCACCATAAATGTTTCCTTACACAATTTTTACTCGAAAATACTTTTCCACAATTGCATATACTGCTTCAAGTTCTACAGAATATAACTCCTTAGTCTTACTATACAGAGGTTTCGCTAAACCATACCTATTAGTTTATCAGACAAAAGCTATTTGATTATAGATATTTTTTGCTGCGAATTTCCTTCTAAAATATATACACCAATGGAAAACCCCATTATTTTTTCTAGCAAATCTTAAGTCTAGGAAATAATACGTATCATTAATTTCATTTACAAATGCAAACCTGACACAGGATTTATTAAAAATTTCAAATGACTTATTTGCATGATATATACCTTTACAGATAAATGAAAGCACCATTATGTACCTTGGATAAAATTCGGTCTCTTTGATGGAATAAAGTAATATAGCTCTCTTCAGATTTGCTATGAAAATATAAGGATGGACTAGCACGAAGAGGACGTCATTGGCCACGCCACTCGCTTGACTGTATAGTTTATTATAGAACTGGGACTGAACATTTTTGGCATATAGTCGTAGCAATTGTTTGAGACTCAACTAGGAAACAGATATGTTTTCCGAATACTAATTAGTAACTTCAACTGTCCCTTCCAAGGGACAGTTTTGTTTAAATTTGTCAAGAGAACCCGATGCGTTAGGTAAACAAAATGGTCTAATTATTTATTCGGTTTGTCAAGATGATATTTTTCATGTTGATATTTCTCGTTACACTTGTATACACATAATACACTCCATTTATTGTATCGTTGATAAATAATAAAAATACGGAACTCAAGAAATAACAAATATTTTAAATCAATAAAATGTAAACAACCTTAGCTTCGTCTTCACATATTTATAATACATTTATTGATTTAAAATCGTTGTAGTAACGATGAATTAGTATTATTTATGGTAATATTTAGTGTTTTAGCATCATTTTCTTGCAGTAATGTTGATATCAATCGGAAGTGTAGTGATATCAGAAATAATAGTCATAAAATGAATAATTTTGTTTTTGGTTTTGTTTCTTGATTAGGCCCAATCATCATCATCATCATTTTTTTCATTTTTATACTTGTTTTATTATGAATTAAAACTAGATATTTGTTTTAGTAACTAGCAGTGGAATCCAGGACGCGCGTTTCGTCCTATTTTGGACTCTCTGAGATGAGTCTCAAATAGGACGAAACGCGCGTCCTAGATTCCACTGCTAGCCACTATCCATCAATGCTTACAAATAGCTTGTGAATTAAGGTAATATCGAGGCATACGCACAGTATGCACATATACCAATAACAGACTGATCAATTGCAGTCTTAAACCTCAATGGGAAGATGCAAACCAAACAATACCAAGTGAATATATATTTGTTTTGATCGAACATAAACTGTTTACAGACCTATTTCATGTAATTTCTAAATGTTATAAACGAAATTACACTACATGCGTATTGTTATTATTATGAAGTTAGTTTTCATTAAAAATTAATATCAAGTAAAAAACTATAAAAAATTACAGAGAACTATATAATCTGTTTTCCTTCTAGCCTAGAACTCCTTAGGAACTCATGCTCAAGGATCGAATCCAGTGGATACTAGTCAGAATCACGTGATTTACATTTTCAGTTTGAGTAAACACGTAATATCGCACAATCACCATTCTAAGTCACCTATTAGTTGGTCTCACATTGTCTTCTGTGGGTAACTGACTCAAACCGACACGGTCGAACCATGAGAATTCCCTCTTGGAGCTAGGAACTAGTGAGCAATATCATGGCTTTATTGAGGTTAGACATTAACGTCATTGGATGTTGGCGCAATGGTCTAATGCTTAAGCATTCGAGAGCAAGACCTAGGGTCCTGGGTTCGATTACTGCTTGAGTGGTCGTGGATGCGTACAGCTCATGAGTCCCATACTGGGACGTAACGGCCGTTCAGTACTTTCATGTTTTTAATGATGGTCTTACATTGATCAGTTGATGTTTTCAACGAAATTCAACAATCTTCGCAATTGATAGTCATTTGTATGATGGCATAATATATCGGTATATTAAATTTTGTTTATAAAGATAGAAAGACTGACAGTAGTTGATTAACCCGACTCAGAATAATCACAAAAAGTAAAACAATGGTTATTGATCATAACTTTCTTTTAGATTGGTGAGCGGAATTATAATTTTACTGATTTCTCAGTTTCAAATCGCCGATACATTTTTAACACACATTTTTGCGGTTTTTACTGGTGTATTGTATATGTCTATCTTAATCATGATGTACAAACAAATGATGGTGAAGATACTGGTATTTGAAACGATTATCACAATTTGCATTACATGTTTTATTGAAGCAATAAACATGATGGCTAGTTTCCTTTAGGTGTTTATACAATTGCATTTATAATTCAAACTTCCTTGATTCTCTGGGTTAATTTTAATGTATTAGGTACTCTGATATTTTGGGTTTTAACTTATTGGAATAATGAAAATATAAACATATTAGATTCTGTCGTTTTATTCACAGTCGAATTTTTAGGATGAATTATTTGGTGTAGTGCTGATAATCTTGACTGAAAATCCATCGATTTGAAGTCTGGATTTCAAGCCACTCAAATCCGAATAATAAATTTTAATGTTTTACAGTTAAAGGTAGTTAACAAAGAACATTGGACTTAAGTTTTGTGCTTGTTTCCTTTCGTAAGAATGGCATACCTGGAGTCTTAGAGGAACATATAATTTCCGTATGATTCAAAACCACGTCTTCTAGTATCACAATCATAGGTACGGTTATGTATATGCCTCGATAGCAACTGCCAATTAACAAGAAACTTAGGTTCATCAATTTTTGCCTTATTTCTCCTAACCATGTAACTTAAAAGTATAGTGTTGAATTACTTAAACTAGTGGCGACATTACAACCTGTTTAACAGAATTCGATTAACACTAAATACTAGACAAATGTAACTGTGATGTGTGCTACATGTGAGGACAGAAATAAGTACTATGTAGTAGGAAATGAAATTAGAATGCTTATCAGCGGAAGAGTGAAATAAAGAGAAGAGAAAGAAAAACAATGAGCAGTCGGAATAACAACAAGATCAGAAAAATGATAAAGTATGTAAAAGAGAACTGACGGAAGATATACAGATGATGTATTTGATATATGATTATCATATTTTACAAAGCTACTGTTTGCTTTTGCAGAAAGTTAATAAATTGATTTATCTTAACTCTGTCTTTATTCACTACATAACAAAGATTAATACTTAGTAAGATACCAGTATTTTTTGGTCACTCGTATATTTCACATGATTTCAAGTCATTGAAATATCATTAAAATCCACTTGAATTAGAATTAAGTTTTTCTCGTACAACTGAATAACTTAACAATATATAATTTAAGGTCATATGTTTTTTAATTTTTATCCAGATTACACGATAGGATTACAACCAAACTAGAATAGTTAGACATCTCCAATATTTCAATCACTTAAGCTATTAGAAATTAAACAACTTGCCAATTTATTATCAATCATTTATTTAACTTGATTTATTTATGAGTATGTATGGTATTCTAATTGTCGTATGAACTAGGAATTCCAGGATTAACACAATTCAATTAAGAAGACACAGGCACAAACGAATGTATTGTATTTAGAATTCGAAATCAAGCATTCAACCAGTCCCAAGGTATCATTAGTTCATTCAAACACCACATCCGCCACAGCTTAAATTGGAGTCTAGGTGTTTGTAATCAATCGTACATCTTCTTCTCAAATTCATCCTGAATCTGTCTGACATTGTCTTGGATAAGGATTCTGTATTATCTAGAATATGCTCATTAGCATTAGAATTAACAATCGAAATTGGAACTGACTCACCTGGTACCTGAAATTGTATTTGATCTACATGTCGACTGTGTGTACTTAAGTCATCGATGTCTAGAATTCGCACCATCGATTTTCCGACATTCTTCAGAACAATACCCGTAGATGGTCGAAGATCATTTCCTCGATAGTATGTAACTTCTTCAGACTCCAAACATCTCATATTCGACCGAAGAATTCTTCCTTTCAATAGCTTCGCTGGAGTCTCCTTCTTCACCGAATGTTTGGCATTTCTATATTGCAATAGAAAAGTATCTACTCCCCTCTCCAGCTCATTAAATGTTGAGGGGGCTATAGAATCAATAGCAGTCTTTAATGTCCTAACAAAATTCTCTGCCTGACCATTAGAACACGGATGTCTAGGAGCAGTAAATTGATGTTTGCACCCTATACCGTTCAACCAGGTAGTGGCTGCATCTGCAGCAAAATGTGAGCCATTATCAGTCACCAACACCATGGGAACTCCTTCTCGAATAAACACCTTTCTTAATGCTTGTATTGTGAAATCAGAATTTGGTGAAGTTGTGAAAAAAACTTCAGGCCACTTTGAAAAAGAATCAATGACTACTAGTGCGTAGTATTTACCAAGAAATGGTCCACAATAGTCAGCATGAATCCTCTGCCAGGCCTCAGACGATACTGGCCATGGCACCCACTTTGAAGGATGATTTTTCAACTGATGACATTTCTCACAATTGTTTGCCGTACGACATATATCTGCATTTATCTCTGGCCACCAGCATGTGAGCCTTGCCAAGGACTTCATTTTCTCAACACCTAAATGACCACTATGAAGATCTTCAAGAACAGATTTACGCAATGAAGGAGGAATGACAACACGATCATTTAAACACAGAATACCATCAGGAGTAGTAGATAGCTCATCCCGCTTTGAAAAATAGATAGGAAATCTACGTTTCAAATTAGCATTCCAACCTTTCCTTATAGCACTGAGTATACATCCAAAATATCTGCGAGTTTCTCTAATGAGATCTGAACGTCTCACTGGTAAAGGTTGCACTAACAAACAATCCGAAGTATTGATAGATTTATCTTGTAATGGCTGTCGAGAAATGTAATCAACATGTTGAATCTGTTTGGCACTTCTGTGCTGAACCGTATAGTCATATGCATTCAAAGCAATACTCCATCGCTGAACTATAGCTGCTGAGGAACGTGCTAATGATTTTTCAGGATGATAAATAAACTTTAAAGCTTCATGATACGTAACAATAGTGAATTTCTTTCCGAATAAATATTTATGAAGTCTTTTAACAGCCCAAAACACAGCTAATGCTTCTCGCTGAGTCTGTGAATAACGTTGTTCAGTAACAGTAAGTTTGCGTGAAACACAAATAACTGGTCTACCTTCCTGTTCCAAAACTGCACCAATTCCCACAGGTGATGCATCAGTAATAAGCACAGAATGTACATTAGGGGAGTACGTTCGAAGAACAGCATCACTTTGAAGAAACTTCAGTAGACTTCGTAAGCATGACTCTTGTTCCTCACTCCATTTGAATGAATTGGATGTTAAAATATTAAATAAACAATTCGCACGACAAGAAAAATTAGGAATAAAACGGGAATAGTATTGAAGAGCACCTACTAGTGAACGTAATTCTGTAAGATTTTTTGGAGACGGTGCATTAGTCAGTGGAGCTAGTTGTTTCATATCTGATCTAAAACCATTACCATCAACTAGGTATCCAAGGCATTCAAAACTAGATACACAAAATGAACGCTTATTTGGATTCACTGTAATATTCTTTTCAATTAAACGACGCAATAAAGCAATAAGTCCCTGGTCATGAACTACCTTATTAGAGCCATGAACAATGAGATCATCTTGATAAACTTCAACACCTTCAAGATCACTAACTACTTTATTCATAACTTCCTGAAATATGTCTGGAGAACATCTTAGACCGAATGGAAGGAAATTGTATTTGAACAGACCAAAAGGAGTGTTAATTGTCGTCAAAATAGATGAAGATTCATCTAGAGGAATTTGAAGATAAGCATCTTTCAGGTCAACTTTCGAGAACACTTTAGAACCATGAAGTCGATTTAGAATATCTTCAGCTTCTACCGTCGTGCACGTTTGCTTCAACAAACGGGAGTTCAGAGTTAATCTATAGTCACCACAAATTCTAGGGGTCTTGCCGTCCGACTTCAGTGGCGTAACGATAGGAGTACCCCATGCTGAAGACTGAATTGGTTCAATTATGCCTTTCACACACAAATCGTTTAATGTCTTATGTACTGCTTCTCGAAGACCATAAGGAATTATTCGTCTTCTAAGAAAGACGGGATCACCCTGTACATGAAGTTTTATAGGCTTAATTTTCATACCTCCACTGCACTTAGCACACATAGCTATCAAATCTTTAAGTAAAGTATCAGAATTTTCTTTAGAAACTAAGAAGGACAACTCCACCTTAAGCCTTTTCAAATTCTTTAAACCCAATATTGACAGTCCTGTTTCGCTAACTAAAAATTCACAAGGTATGTATGAAGAATTATCATCTCTGATTAGCAATTCACAACATCCTCGTATGGGCAGTCTGTGTCCAGTAATCCCCAGTATTGATACTTCAGTGGGTCGTACAACAACGTTAGGATCTAAAGCTTTCAAGTTCTTGAATGAAATAATGGACTCTATACTGCCTGTGTCCAGAATAAAGTCATGAAATGAACCAAGCGATGTATATAGTCGCTTCTGAATATGAGCATTACCTTTCGAAATAGTAGACAAAGACAAATGATCACTAGAAACATCCGAATTATTTAAATTTAAATTACAAGATTTAGTACAGCTCGAAGCAAAATGGACAGTAGCTTTGCATACTGACTGAATGTGTCCTACCTTACCACATTTAAAACATTTAGCATTACGAAATACACATGAATTGCGAGCATGAAACTTTCCACATGATAAACATTTACCAAACTTCATCTCACCTTTGTGATTTGTTTTGTAATTCCTTGTTGAAACACCTTTCATATTTACACGAGAATAGGAATCACTGTTAGATGAACGCAAGTTTGATTGACCCTGAGATTGTAGTTCATCACGACGACTAAGCAACGTATTAGAAATCTTCATCGACTGGATATCAAGTTCATTGACTGCTTCGTAGTTAATACATGCAGTTCTAGCATCTTGAAAGGAACAGTTTGGCATTCTTAACAGCTCTCTTTCCAAACTCGGTATGTTAATTCCTGTAATTAATCGATCTCTCAGTTGCACATAAAGTTGATCACCGAAATTACACTTGGCAGCTTGTTTCTGTAATTCAAGGATGAATTCCCGAACCTTTTGGTCATTTTGACGAACCATCTTATGAAACTTCGCCCTTTCACGGTATTCAAAACTGGTGCATTTTACTTGACTTAATAATAGCTCTTTAAGAGTTGCATAAGGGAGTGAGATAGGTTTTTCTGGATATGCCAAAGTACGCTTCTCTCCCAATGAATGTCACAAAATGTGCCACAACTTTATCACCTTTAACATCTTTCTTGGTCATGCTCCAGATTCCGAACCTTTCCAAGTAATCCTCAAAAGCTTCAGGAGTTGAATGAATATCTAACTTTTCCATTGCAGGCTCCATCGCGACACCAATATGGTATTCCAATTGTCGTATGAACTAGGAATTCCAGGGTTAACGCAATTCAATTAAGAAGACACAGGCACAACGAATGTACTGTATTTAGAATTCGAAATCAAACACTCAACAAGTAACAAGGTATCATTAGTTCATTCAAACACCACAGTATGTCTAAGATTTTTTGACGTTTCATGACTCAGTGTAAGCCACTTCTTCAGAGAATAAATAACCAAACCAAAATTAGTCCAAGTTTAAATAGTACAAAAGAACAATGCAAGAACAATATATGCGTACAATCAATTTATTCTAAATTGTCAAGTCAAACCTTGGTAACGATGCCTACTAGTTGATGTTTTTATAAAACACTTCATTCACTTTGTTTTGTCAATATTTCTAAACAAATAATTCCAATTTATAGTTTACCATCTGTCATTCTTGATAATTCTGTTTCTATGTATGATAATGAAATTTATAATTTTTTTTACTAAATTTCCTTATTTAAACTAAATTTCATCATGTGATATGGATACTCATAATATTTCTGTCATTATAAGTCTGAATAAATAACAAAGTTTTTTTTACCTCGTTTTTATACGTAATTTATTATTTTCTTCCTTAATCTTCGCTTCTGTCGTATAGTTTTCATTGTCACATGGTAACAAATATAACTGTAATATATCAAATATCTTATTCTAATAACTTTTAGTTCCGATTATCAGACTGATTTAATTTCATTACTATGTCATTAATAATTATTGTCGATTGTTCTTATGAGTACATGTAAATGTATTCTATGTGTTTACTAAGTTGTCAGCTCAGTTTTTCTCTTGATCTTCATTCTTCTAGATTTTTTCACATACTTCATAAACATTAAACGTACCTTTAGGCTTGACATAAACCCACTAAAGGTTTAATGTTACAATGACATAATATTAAGCAGAAAATTATTTTTATTTCAATTAAATAATTCTTTTCATACAATTTGATTATAATTGTTTCATAGTAAATTAATTAGTATATTCGAAAATTCATTAATAAACATGAAGCAAACATTTTATTTATACCATACCAATAATTGTGTTGTATTGAATAGATTATTTATTCATCTAAACCTTCAACAGACCCACTAGTAAGATGTTCTTTTTTGAACTGTTCTTTGATAAACTTTGAAGATAATATTACTCGACTACATGAAGTGTTTACGATTAAAGATAACAAGCAATATTAAATTAGTTATTTCTTTATCAACAATGTAAAATCTTATAGAAGTGTTTAGGTACTTTACATCAAATGAAAAAGTAAAGTATTAGTGGTAATAACAAATTCGAGCGATGATATCGGTGAACTAATCAAATGAATATTTACTTAGAAAGGAAAGAATGAAAGTGAAGAATAAAAAGAACAACTGCATGACAAACGCATGATATGTAGAGGAGAACCAAACAAATAACACCACATAGTTAGTGAAATATAATAATAAAAATCACAAATAAATAATAGTTGCTTTGGATTGGATTAAAATTGAGATTATAGATAAATAATTATGTTCGTCCTTTAATGTTTCCTATTATCTAAAAACTCAAGTGTTTTATCTCTTTTTCAAGTTTCTCTAACTGCTTTTATATTACTTTACAAATAAAACCAGTTTTATATTTGCCTTGTGAAAGTGCAATCTCAAACTTGTCCATTTTATATAGTCTTGTACCTAATGTTATATTTGGCTTAAAATTATTAGTCTTTTTGTTTTGGAAAGAATTACAATATATTTCTTATCAATTTCATTATTGCTATTGGTTACAGTTTCAGTTTGGAAAGGACAGGAGGCTTGATGGCCTGTGTTAGTCCTAGCAGTGGTGGTCTCTCAGTTGATCCAACTTTCTTTTGAAAGAGTCGACGAATGGAGCCTCAACCACGTGCTGAGGTAATGAATTCCACTCTTTGATGATTCGATAGGAAAGTCGATAGTCAGCTGACAAGTAATTTGCTCTGGGCTTGTGAACCTTTTTAGAGCGTCCTCGTAATTTCTCTATTTTGGAAGACAAGAAAAATGAGAAAATATCAGGTGCAAATTTATCACTAATCAATTTGAAAACTGTAATCAAGTCGCCTTTTCTTCTACGATATGACAACGGGAAAAGGTTTAGCTTGGCCATTCGTGCATCACACGGAAGCTTCGCAATTCCGGGAATCAGCCTAGTTGCTGTTCTCTTAACCTTTTCCAGAAGCTCACAGTCTTCTTTTAAGCAGGGGCTAGCCGCTTGTATGCAGTACTCAAGTTTAGGACGTACGAATATTGTATACAAAGTCAAAAACGTTATGATGATAACAATTTATCTTCTATGATGAAAAAATTATTTCTTTAAATTGTCAATCATATTTTTGACATTTTATGTAATGAATAATGTAGTAAGAATTTTAAAAGAACAACTATGGTAACACAACTGATTGTTTATAACAATTCCCTTGAAATATAAACAACGGGTTATTAGGGCATGAAAAGAATTTAATTTTTATACAGAGAAAAAATAAAGAACAAATTACTTGATTAAAATTTAAGTCACCAAAAAACGGCAAATATATTGCATAAATATTCAAAATTCTTGGTTAACAGTCTTTGTATGGAGTTTTTATTTTATTTTCACTAACCATTTCATGAAATTGAGTGTGCTTAAATAATACATTATCATAATGAAGTCTGAAATGTTACTTTTACGAGTGTTATGTAATCGGGAACATCCACCTTCAAATAAAATAACTCTTCTATACTAATAGCAATCACATTAACCAGTTTTCATAGGTTACACTTAAACTCTGTCTTCGTGCACATTTTTATATTGGGTGCGAGAAATATATTACTGTTGTCCCTAATCAATGAATACTATCTTATCATTGTTATAAAATTTATTTCTAAATTATTCTTTTAATTTCTTGTCATATCTTAGCAACATGTAATGTATTCAATGTAGTTTTGAACGATAATAGCGATCGATCATAGTCAAAGATACATTTTTTTTCAATAAACTTATAGAATCTGTTGATAATAAGAGAGGATGATTGATTGTCAAATAAAATATTTACTTAGGAAAAAAAAGATAATTTAACTGTTTGGAGGTAATCGACAGGAAATTCTAGATCTAGGTTTTCTAGCATCCCAACACGATGAGTATAATATCAAACCCCATAAAACATGTGTCCATATTGTAACTTGATTAGTATAATTTGATCAGCATCAAGTACTAGACAATATTAAATTGGCTACTACTCTGTAGTCGATGGATTAAATATCTCCGTCGTACATGACATGAATGGTAATACCTCCAATGCAGTATTAGGAGATACGTGTTTGAATCCATGAAGAATTTTATTTATATCAAAATTATAGAGATGTACTTACTGCTAATAAAGACGGAACAGTATAAAATCTAGTCTCAAGGTTTTAGATCTATTATCTCAAATTACCTAGAATTTATGTGAAAGACAATTTGCTTTTTACAGAATTAATACGACTTACGCTTTTATCTACTTTTACATCAATAATAGATATGTAAAATGAATAAAACTAGTAGAAAGTTTATAGTTAGTGAATACCATAATACAAATTCTTAAACATAATTTAATTTTCACAATGTCATTTATTAATGAGCAATTTTCAGTTGTACTTTGTACATTATAGACAAATGTAACATGAATATGACAAGTCATGTTTGTTTCTCAATTTCTACTCTTATTACTGCCAACCCAAAAAATTATATAACAGTGGGTAAAAGTATTATTATTCTTAATTACATGATGTATGGACCATTTTATTCAAATTGTTGTGATAAAACCTTAAAAAAACTATGTCTCTTCCATTAACCCAATTTACTTCCTACATTATATGTATATATATATATATATATATATATATATATATATATATATATATATATATATATATATATATATATTCCATTTAATGAGTACAAATTGATGAAATTTGAACAACTCTTGCTAGAATGAATATTCCCTTTTTT